CTGGTTGGTATGTTATGGAATGTCACTGTGGTTTTAACTTAGCTTTCCATAATGATGAGTGGCTTTGGTGATTTCCAGCTGTGTAATGGCCATTTGTATACCTTCTACTTTAAAGTCCTTGCTTTTCAAAAAATGAGTTAGTTATTGGAGATATGTGTATAACTCTGTATGAGTCCTTTATCAGATACATATTTTATGAATGTTTTCTTTTAGGCCAATGCTTGTCTATGTGCTATTTGTTTTATTATTATTATTTTTGAACTGTCTTTTCCCAAAATGTGGCAGATCTGTTACAGGAATCGGAATGGTGACCATCAAGGAAAACTGTCACTAGGGGCTCCTTTTTAAAAAACAATTTCTTTCCCCTCACCCTGTATCCCCCCCAGCTGCAGCCTGGATAAGGGCCACATGCCTATGTGTTTTTAAGAGCGTCTCTTAATTGGAAGAATTTTTAAACTTTTTGACAATCTAATTAATCACTTTTCCCTTTGCGGTTATTACTTTCAGGGACCTGATAAACCTTTTCTCTTCCTTAAGTCACAAAGCCATTCTCTTACACAAAGATTTTCCTTTAGGTGAGCTGTGTGGATTTAGCTTTTATACTGAGGAATATGCTTCACCTTGGATGAACCAGTTCACAGGTGTCTACTGAGCTCCTTTTCTCTGCATGGATGGCCTTTGCTGTGTCACCGCTGTAAAGTCATCCTCAGACAAATCACATGGCCCTGTGCCTTCGTGGTAAATCCAATGACCGTACAGAGTGCATCTATTTCTGAATTATCCATTGTTTTCTGTTAATCGATGTTTGATATTTATGCCAATGCCACATTGCTTTGATTATTCTAGACTTGTAGTAACTCACAAAATCAAACAGCTGCATTCTTATTTCTGTTCTGATTCTTCTGATCTTTTATATTCAAGTTTCTTGGCATTTCCATATACTTTAGAAGTCTTGTCAATTTGTATATTTAGAGAGTCTCTGGGATTATAGTTAAGATAACAGTGAATATATATATATATATATATACACATACACATATATATATATTATATATACACATACATATATACATATATACATATAAATTGGAGAATTGAAATCTTGATAAAATTGAGTCATACAGTATAGTCTGTGAATAATGTATATATCTCCATTTATTTAAACTTTCTTTCATTTTTCTCAGGAATATAAGAATGTCTTCCAGAAAATATAAGAATATTATTGAAATATTTTGTTATTATTTTATCATAAGAAATGTTGTCACTAGTTAGAAAAAAAAGAAACTCAACGTCAGTTTACAATATTATGGTATGAAGATGCTCTTACATTTAACAGCTCCCATTTTGATAAGAGTTGTGCTTTGCTCATACTTGAATTCAGGCTTCAGGTCTTCGTAACTCTATACAACTTTGAGCCTCTTGTAAGCCCTGTACAATTGGTCTGGATTCAAGGTCAATTGCCCGATTATTGTCCCATCTGTTTGTGACCTTGTGGGAAGCGATCCAGGGCAAACCACTCTCTCTGTGTCTCTCTGATCCTTTCTTCAGCTCGAAAATGGTGAGATGGTGGAGAGGTTGTCAAAACTTAAAGATATAATAGAGGCAAAGTCTTGGAATAGTTATTTATTAGAGTGAAGCATCACTAAAGACCAACTGTTGTCATTATTATTTTCTTTCCTTTCCTTTCCTTTCCTTCTGCCTGTCAGGTCCTTTTCTGCTTTGTCAATATACTCAGCTCCTTTCAGGGAAAATGTCTTTTCACCCTTCACATCACAGCTTCGACATTCCTTCCTGGGAAAAGCCTCCCAATAATTTTCTATAAGGGGAGCTCTCTGTTCTCCAACTCATTAACTGGTTTGCTACTTCCAAAGAGATTCACATTTTAAACACACACACACACACACACACACACACACACACACACACATTTTCTTTTCATTTTGCATATTTGTTTTTGATGCTTCTTGTAGACATTGGGGACAGCGCTCGCTCTGTCCACCTGTATCTCTACATGCTATGGTATGGTACCTGTGTTATGTGGATACTCAGGTAAAGCTTATGAGATAAATTTTCAAGAGAAATGGGATAATCTAATTTTAGAAAGTTTGAAAATGGTTTCTGAGTAGAATTTTCGACTTTTCGAGTTAAATGCTAAGAACTATATGTGAGCCCTAACCGGTTTGGCTCAGTGGATAGAGCATTGGCCTGCAGACTCAAGGATCCCAGATTCGATTCCGGTCAAGGGCATGTACCTTGGTTGCGGGCACATCCCCAGTGGGGGGTATGCAGGAGGCAGCTGATCGATGTTTCCCTCTCATTGATGTTTCTAACTCTCTATCCCTCTTCCTTCCTCTCTGTAAAAAAATCAATAAAATATATTTTTTAAAAAAAGAACTATATGTGAGGTCTTATTTTAAAATATCAACAAGGTTTTTTATAAGAAACATATAAATATAACTATTTCTATTCTTCTCAGTAACCCATGACTTAGAGGTGAATCTAGAGAAGATTTCTAGGGTTTGTCATTTTGCCAATGAAAGGGTCCTCCTCCAGAATTCACTCTTGAAACAGTTCTTACAAAAGCATTTTTGTTTATTTGTTCCAAGCGATGTTCCGAGGAGTAATTATTTATTCATTCAACAAACACGTATCGACTTTGTTTTAGTGTGCTCAGCACTCTTTTGAGAGCTTAGAAAACATAACTGAACAGAAGAGAGTTCATGTTCCAGTGTTAGAAGGAGACTGGCGTTTTTTTTAGAAGCTTGAAGGAAGTGACCAATCATTTGAAATTCATTTTCCATTCCTTCAAAGAGTATGCTCTGGCCAGGGGATAACTCAAAGTCTTCACATGGTCGGCATCTTCCCACCTCTATCTTCTTGCTTTCCCTCCATCCCAAATAGATGTCCCTTCTTCCTATGTCTCTGCCACCATCCTAGGTGCAAAGACTATTGTTTTTCCTGGGCTCCTGCATCACCCTCTCCATCCTGTGCCCCGGCAGCAGCATCTCCAGATGAGTGAGAACTGGATTCATCGCTGACCATGTTGCTTACATATTTGAAATTCTTCAAAGCCCATCCTTGTTCTGATGACAAAGACAAAATGTCGACAGAGCCGACATGGCCCTGGGCCATAGGCCACGACCGACACCCCTGCAGTGGCACCTCGGTATCTCTCCTTTGTCCCTTTTCTGCTTGACTGGCCCTTCACAGGCCAATTTCGTATTTGTCTCTGGATAGAAAAAAATAGCTTAGGCTGTCATCTAGCAAAACGAATTAATTTTCTTCTTAATGTTCACAACAAGAACACATACAACATGCAATTTTACACAAAAATGTTCTGACTTCTACCAGTTTAGGCCCTTAAACATGGGATTCTGATACACTGCGTTTCACATAAGACGCAGGGTGGGCAAAAGTAGGTTTGCAGCTGTGAGTACGTGACTGAGTATATGCCTGGATTCTCATTGAATGAATATTGTATTGTTTTCCATATAAAACAACCTACTTTCGCCCCACCCTGAATGTTGTATTATCAAGCATATTTTTGACATGAGAAGACTGTTCCTCTGAGGCTGTTTTCAATGATGCGAGCTTGAAAACTGGAAGACTTTGCCAGAGCCAGCGTCTTGCACTGCATATTTCAAACCTCGTTTCTCTCTGATCCTTAAACTTCTAGTTTCTGGATGTCATAGCACACTGTTTACGGTCTATGGCCCTGGTTTTGCATCTTCAGGCTGACGAGTTAGCAGAGTGGTGGTGGGAGTATTTAGTGAAACCCTTCTATTCCTCGCTGTTACAGATAACAATAACTATACACGGACGTAATCTGGAACCCCATAATTACATTCCACTATGCCTGAATTAAATCTATTTTCAGCTCAATTTCCTCTTAGCAAAATCCTTTAAATGGCCTTTTGGCCACTCTTAGGGGAAGGGAAGACAGAGTGGAAAGAAATAACACTCAAAGGAGATAATGGTCAACATATCTTCCTCTAAAAAATAATTAAGCACATGGCCATGCGAACACAGTTAGGACCGCCACTGGCTCTGGGAGGGGCTCACTTTAGAAGTGCAAGTTACTGAAATTTAAGAATCCTTAGCTCTATGATAAATCTATCTCTTGTGCATTGTTTTGGATATATTTATTCCCTGCTATTTCATCTAAGCAGTAAGAAACTGGCCCAGGATTTGGTTAGCTAAAATTTCCTTTTAGAGTAAGTCGATCAATACTTCAGTCTCCTTTTCCTGGAGACCCAAATGCAGAGTCAGGGAGGGAGGGAATTAGCACTTCCTGTTTATTTTATTCATTTTCTTTTCTCTGTCTTCCTTTCACCGAGATGTAGAAAACACACACACACTTGTTTTTATGGGGAGAGCTACCACCACAAGTTCCAGCCCCACGGAGTCTCCTGCATTAGGGAAGCGGGGGTTCCCCACTTTTCAATCATGAGATACAAAGCAAGGGATGTTTTCAAGGCAAGATCCTGCAGAAAGACCTTGACAAATACCCAGAGGCAATCTCAGGTAAAAGGAAGTGATGTGTTAGGTGGATGCCTTTATGATGGCCTTCAGGAGGCATGCTGCTCAGCTGTCATCTCCACAGCCTTCGGTCCCTGCCTATTCAAGTTCCTGCATTTCTGATAATGACAGTCACAGGATAACTGTAAATGCAGGGCTCTCACCAACAGTCTCAAAATGGGTTTCATTTTTTCTTCTTTTCACATATTTTTGTTTCTCTAGTTTAGGATTTTTGCATCTATTTTCATGAGAGATAACCTCTAAATTCCTTTTGTTATCATGTCTTTCCTATGGTTTTTATAAGGCTTTTGATAGGTGGAATCCACTAGTTAAGAAATGTTCGTTGTTTTTCTAGTTAGTGAAATGTGAAGGCTATAGAATAAATATTTGTGTCGTCCACAAATCCGTGTGTTCAGTCCCAAGGCCCCAATGCGATGGCCTTTAGAGGTGAGCCCTGGGAAGTAATCGGGTCATTTACATTTGCTTACTATGTTCTAGGTTCAATAAAACAGAAAGCTGGGGTATAGACAGGTATCTTTTTCTCTTCTGTATCTTCCATAATCTGTTATTGATTGGATACCTTTCTCCATGGAAATGTTACTTAATGAACATCATATTATGTAATTTTTGCCTCCAACTCAGTAAGATTTCAAAATTGTAGAAATGATCTAAGCTTCTGATATAATGTAAAAGACTGTAATACCTCACTAAACCTTAAGTCATTGAACACTTAAATAGATTTACTTATCCTCCTATCTAATAACAGAGAAACATGGTAATTAGTCGTATGGCCGCTACCCTTCCCATTGGATAATCAGGGAGATATGCAAATTAACTGCCAGCCAAGATGGCAGCCGGCAGCCAGGCAGCTTGAAGCGAACAGGGAGGCTT